GAACACTTGTTGTGCGTGTCTCATTTGCCACAATTACTCTCCTTTTCATGTGATTTTTCATTCTAATTGTTACGTTTGAGAATGAGAGTGATGTTTAGCATACCATGGAGTAATTTTTTGAGCTTACTTGCTAATTGAAGGATATATGATTGTTGATTATGTTTGTTCGATATAATGACTTAAAGGGATTGTGTGTGTTGAATGATATTATGTTTGAAGGATATATGATTATTGAAGGATATTATGATTATTGTGTGTGTTGAACTTTGATCGAACACCTCATGTGCGGTTCTCTCTTGCTTAAATTGCTCTCTTTTTCATGAGAGTTTTCATTTGATTTTTTTCAATCAACTTATAATACAATCTCGGTCATTTTTTTGCAGAAAATGGCATCCTCATCATCGAATCCTAGACCCTACACCCCACACCCCGGGCCGAATGACCCATCACTTCTATACCTTCAGACCCGCCACCAGTCCGATGCGGTATTTCATGACAAAGCGGGGTTGAGGCACAGCGTGGTTAAGCCACGCCGTGCGGACTCCCAGTTCTGGGATGCATTGAAGGACAACAAGCAGCATGCCCGGACATAGGAGGCGATCGAGAAGGCCGGCTTCGGGCCTTTGTTTCGGATGGGGCGAATCCAAACAATCAATGCCCTAATTACATGCTTGATTGAGAGGTGGCGCTCGGAGACGCACACATTCCACTTCGACTTCGGGGAGGCCACTATTACGCTACAGGACGTTCAGATACTATTTGGCCTCCCCGCCAATGGAGATGCGATCTGGAGCCACACCATACATCGGTCTGCCCAAGAGTGGAGAGACTACTGCTTTTACTACCTAGGGTATTACCCGTATGTACAGGTATATTTTTAGTTAAAACTTTTTTTTGCTTATTTTTTTTAATTATTATTATGTTTATGTATACTTAAGTCATAGGTACAAGCGACCTCTGAGGGATGGACTCGATACATCAGAGTACGAGAAGAGGACGAGAGTCGTGATACTCTGGTGTATTGGGTCCTTCTTCTTCCCCGACCATCGGGCCAACGGGGTCAACCGTTACTGGTTGTCCCTGTTGACTGACATCGAGGCCATACCGGGGTACAGCTGGGGTGCATCGGTTTTGGCCGGGTTATATAGAGCGCTTTGCGAGGCCTACGAACCGAAAGAAAAATTTATCAAAGGCTGCGTGCAATTGATGCAAGTAACTTTAATTACTTGTTAATCGCAAATTAATTTTATTTATTATAAATTACAATAATATGTGCTAAAATCCATATGTGCAGGTTTGGGCATGGGAACGCATCCCTCGGCTTAGCCCAATCATGAAGACAACGCAATTCGGCTCTCAGCCAGGTCTTCCCTTGGGTGCAAGGTAATAATAACCTTTAATTATATTTAACACTTGAGTTATTTCAATTATCAAATTTTCTAATTACAAATAATTTTTTTCTATGATTTTTAAGGTGGGTGGGATCGAAGGATATGCGACACCTGGTGACGGGCACGGCTGCTATTCGGGATCAGCTGATTAGCCTGAGGGAGACCGATGTAAGTTTTTTCTGTCAAAATAATATTTATTAATTTTTTAATTCTATTTTTTTATAGATTCATTAATAATTCTATAATTGTTTTTTTAAAGTTTATTTGGGTACCCTATCAGCCGTACATAGACGCTGATCAGCTCCCAGATCAGTGTACACGAGACCGAGGTATCTGGATGTACAGGGGGTTCATCTTCTGTTGGAACATCGCAGAACCCCACGAGCCTGATAGGGTGCTCCGCCAGTTTGGGTGCCACTAGCCCATCCCGCAGACGCCACTCATTACGAGTCTGGCCGATTGGGACGACCGCCACAAAGGCCAGGGCATGACTGGGAGGGCATACACCGATTGGGGGGCCTTCCATTCAAATCTTGGGAGGATCTGGACCGACGACAGAGATAATCATGTCCTCTCAGATGTACCGGTGGACTCCTTCCTGCAGCCGGCTGATGGGTACATTGAGTGGTATCGCCGTAGGACTGTGAACCTACTCATTGACCCTAACAAGTACGCGAAGATCGCACGGGACGGGGGGTTTCAGCCAATTGCCGACCGGGAGAAGTGTCTGGTAATTTGTGATTTTATTATTATTATTATTATTAT